TATAGCACCACTAAGGGCTGTTATAGCATAAAGGTGCAAGCTTTATGCCATAGGAATCCCCATGCAAGCATATGAAGTGTTCTTTTGGCCTTTTTAGCTCAAAAGGCCATGAATGGAGGAAAAAGGCAGTAGCCTTGCATGGATATGAGGTGGTTGGGTCCAGATCTGTGTTCTGAATGCTTTGAGATCCTCAAAAATCGTCTGAATAGATTGGGACGTAGAGGGACTCGGCGAGTCACTTGTGGGACTCGGCGAGTCAGGCCATTTTCTTGCCCCAAAACCCTTCTGTTAAGGGTATGAGTTGAGTTGGTAAGGGCTCAGCCAGTCTGGGTCCATAATGGACATGAAGTTCATCGTACTCGGCGAGTTCAATGAGGAACTCGGCGAGTCCAAGGCAATCTCCAAACCCATGAAGATGGAATCGACGATTTGTTCATACAACTCGATGAGTCATAGACTGGACACATTTATTTGAGGGAGATGAACTCGACGAGTTCAAAGATGAACTCGGCGAGTCGGTTGAAGATGGTCCTGATTGTATGGTTGAAGGAGGACCCGTCGAGTTCTTGCTAGACTCGACGATTAGAGTCGAGGGTTGTATTGGGTAGTAGGAGTATGGACTCGACGAGTTGGTAGACCAACTCGGCGAGTCAAGTCAACTGGAGGTTGACTTTGAACAAGTGTGACCAGGGTTGACTTTTGGATTATTGTGGTCTAAATGTTATTTTGGGTATTGATAGTTCGGGAAGCCGAAGGGTCAGCGGTTCAGAATTTGCCAGTTAGCAGTCAGAAGTGTTCAGCTAGTCTTCAGCAGTGTGAGGTGAGTCTCCTCACTGTGTGCATGGGTCTACAGCCACAATGCTGGCCCATTATGTTTATGTTTATGTTTATGTTTATGTATAGAAGGAAGACTCGGGGGTTAGCCCTAGGCAATTATTGTTACATGTTCTGGATTACGACCTGTGCCGGGCGAGGCCCGAGGAATGTAGTATGCTAAAGGTGGTTGTGATTCTCGTATGTGTCAGAGTTGAAAGGTTCCGGACCAGGGTCCGATGCCGGGGCAAGCCCGAGGAAGGTTTATATGTTAAATGTTAGATTATACTTGTTGTCTTTGTGATACTCGTATGTACCTGGTAGGGAGGTGAGTGTGGGCGAGGTCCCGTATCTCATCATAACCGAGTATGAACGGGGTTCCGTATCTCATTAGTAGCAGAGCAGGGGCGAGGCCCGAGTTAGGAAGAAGGTGAGTGTGGGCGGGGGCCCGTATCTCACTATCAGCAGGAACGTGGACGGGGTTCCATGACTCATCAGTAGCAAGACAGGGGCGAGGCCTTAGATCAGGAGTATGGTAGAGCATGCTTATCTATTTGTTATGTGTGATGTTTGTATTTGTTTAGCGGGCGAGGCCCAGAGACAGGCGGGGCCTAAGAGAAACAGATCTGTATACCGAGCGGGGCTCGATGCCAGGCGAGGCCTAATGCCGGACGGGGTCCGATGCCGGGCGAGGCCCGATGCGGTGGGCGGGGGCCCAGTATCTGGTTATGTGTTCAGGGTTATGTATGGCATGTATGGATCAGTTGATGTGTATGGTATGTGGTAGGTTGGGGAAGCTCTCTAAGCTTCGTGCTTACGGTTTTCAGTTTTGGTTTCAGGTACTTCCGGTAGCGGATGGAAGAGCTCGGGATGATCGCATGACACAAACCAAAGAAGTTTAGCCTGAGATGTTTACTTTGATAAAATGAACACGTGTTTTGAAAAGATACTATGATTTGTTATGTAACCCTTTTAGTATGTTTGAAATGATTTGATACTATGGTTTAGTAATGTTTTAAAAAGAAATTTTTGGTCATGATTTTTGGGACGTTACAAGCATTGTTATATATGTGTTGATTGTATGTGTGTGGGGGTGGGTTGAGGCGAACCTGCTTTGTGCTGAAGGCCAACATACCCAGGGCGGCCTAGATAGACTGCAGACCCATCAGGGCGTACTAGTCATGCCGAAGGCCCGGAGAACGGTCCAGACAGGCTGAAGGTCCGGTAGGGCGGACCAAACTTGCTGACGGTTCTGAGAGTGAGCCAGATAGACTAAAGGCCCGGTGAGGGCGGTCCAGTCATATTGTAGACTCTATATGCATGTTGTTCGTTATGATATGGTTATGGTTTGTATGACGTTGGTATTTTGGGGGAACTCACTAAGCTTCGGGCTTACAATTGTGGATTTTGTTTTAGGTACTTCGGATGATCGCGGGAAGACGAATGCTTGACATTTCATGATTTTAATTTCTGGGAAACTCTGATATGAAACTATTTTGAAAACATTTTGTAATAAATAATGGTTTTTGAATGCTCGAAATTTTTTTAAATTTTCATGAATTTTATGGATGTTACATCATATAAAATGTTAAATGTTTTATTTGTTTATTATGTTTTCGTTATAAACTAATATTTATTTATTAAATAAGAAGTTGTAACACATTTTAAAGAAATTTATTTTCACCTACTCTATAAATACATGTGTTGTTACTGCTTAGAGCTTCTCCAACCGGCCACTAAAATAGTGGAGTGCCTGTAAATGTTGTTCCAATCGTCCGCCAAATTGGCCGGTAAATGTTGTTCCAATCGTCCGCCAAATATGCAGTGACCCTTGTCCAACACGAAACTTGCTTTTTCATTATATGATAATATTAAATTCAATATAAATGCTTTAAGATTATCACATATATAATATTATAATAATTATGAAATTGTTTTTCAATATAATATTATTCAAATAAGTTTTAGCGTAAAATTTTAGTGTGTGGTTGGAATGAAAATCTATTTTTGTATTAAAATGTCATCATTTTTGTGTTTTTTAGTGCTTATAATTGGAGTTGGCCTTACGTGTGCATGCGCACCATATTGTACCAACATAATATCGTTTACTCATATAACCATTAAAAGTAAAGAAATACCTATAACACATAAGTTGTTGCTAACATAAGTAACATAACAACAACAATAATACAATCTAAATCATAAAACAATTATCTATTACACAAATCACTTTCTTTAGATTCACAAGAACAATAATACAAAAACAAATTCCTTTTAAACTTCATCATTTGATGTTGAACGTGAATCAACAGGATTAAATCTTTCTCTCACTCCCCCCCTCTAAAATACCTTATTTATCTAACTATAATTCTAAAATAATATTACTTTTTATCTAAAATTACAAAATAACACCTTAATATATGTACTTATTTTACTTCTATATAACCTAAATTATTTACCATCCACCATGAAACATATTATATCAATATTTGGTTCGATCATAAATATAGAATCTTATTTACTCAAAAAATTTCACGTAAAATCTTAGATCAGATGCGTTGCACAAATAGAAAAACATCCCAACAAAAGAAAACTCATCCAAGTTAGCATTTACATCTAATAATTTATCATGCTACAGTCGGAACCAAAACATCTCAAAATTAACGTGCATAGTTACGTTTCTTTAACAAATATTTTCTATAAAAATTTAATTCCCAATTAGTTACATTATATTTATCAATATATATTGAATATTGGTGAAATATATGATCTAAATAGAAGAATATGTGATTTTCTTATTGATATGGAAATAACTATGTTAGGATTTTGATGTGCTAATTTAAACATTAAACATATTAAGAAATATATTTAGAATATCTATTGCAAATACACAAAAATGCTGTTAGATTACATTTATTTCTTCAATTACATTATGTTCTACTTGTTCATAAGCAACTATTAGTTTAGAAAGTCAATAACACACATCCACAATAATTTTTTCAATTATAAAATTTCTCAAAACACAACATTGTTTTATGATGAAACATATTATCCCTTTAATTTTAAGGGCATGAGGAGACATGGGCTTGTTATTAAAAATTTGTATTTTTAATTTTCAAATGTGAAAAAGTTTGTTGATTGAAATGGTTGTGTAAATGATCGTCGATCTCTCAGAGTTCCTATGCTTTTATCCATGATATTATTAGTTTAAGTTGGAGGAAACAACATGTAGGTGTAGTAGTAAGGTTGAACATCACATATCAACTTAACATACTGCTAGGTTATGTTACTTCTTCTGATGCACGAGATTCATTTAACATTGATTAGCCCAACATTTTGACACTACACGTCTGAAACGACCTATCTTGTTATTATTCTTGTCTTTCATCAATGAACAAAACACCCACGAGTATATTACACGTAATTTAAGATATAGCTAGTCATTATACATTCTGTATATCTATTTACTTTCTTTATTATGTTTTTGATTTTATTTAATTATCGAATGATATATGCAAGCTTATTACCGACATTCCAATTTTAGTGAACACGAACACGCCAATAAGTAAGGTCTTGATGGTTTGTGTTATAGAGAAAGGCCCTCTCGATGCTCTAATGAGTTATAAATGAAACCATTTTTTAACCTAAAATCGAACCCAAACTTCAATTTATAGAGTAAATTACACGAATGATCCTTATGGTTTGGGGTAATTTGCGCGATTGGTCCCTATCTTATTTTTTTAACTCGGAAGGTCCCTACTATTTGTTTTTGTTACGCGCTTGATCCCTACTGTTTGTTTTTGTTACACGTTTGGTCCCCATTTTACCTAAAAATACTATTATTTAAATAGGAAAAAATGATGGGTAGGTAAAGTAAAGTGATGGGGGGTGAGATTGGGGGTGTGTTTGTTTAAATAAATCAAAAAATCAAGGGCAAAATAGTATTTTTAGGTAAAACAGGGACCAAACGCGTAACAAAAACAAACAGTAGGGACCTTCCGAGTTAAAAAAATAAGTTAGGGACCAAACACGTAAATTACCCTAAACCATAGGGACTATTTGTGTAATTTACTCCGATTTATATCTTGTTGAACCCTAAATAATTATATTTAATATTAAATATTTTTTAATGGAATAAAAAAGTTGTATTCCAAGAGGACAAAATTATCCTTCCGATTTGACTTTCAAGCTTATCTTTAACCCTAGACTCCATGTGATATCATACGTTCCTTCCTTCCCCCCATCTCTCCCTTCTTAGAAACCCCATTACGAATCTCGCCGACCTTTAATCTCTCTCATATTTTCTTTTTCGCCAAGCAAAAATCTTTCAACCAATTCACACCCATATATAAAAATCTCTCTATGAACGCCAAAGTCATCGCCTCTATAACGTCGCCGTCTCTTCCTCTTTTGCCCAAAACCCAACATTTTTGAGCCCTTCAGAGACGGCGACTGGAATAAACACCGATCGATCTATCAATTGATTGATCTGCTCATCAAATCCTATCTAAATTTGGTGATTTTACCCCAAGCTATATATTTAATTTTCTGTTCTTTACAAGGGTAAGTTTATATTCGTGTTTGTTTCTGGGGTTTTAGGTGGATCGGTGTTAATTTTTTGCTTTTTAGTAGTATTTGAATGGATTTGTTGGTGTGCTCTTTGATTTATGCAAAAGTACCTTTTTTCATTTTCAATGGAACTAAAATAGTTTTAAGGTCAATCTGAGATTTTTGAGGTCCGATGACAAAAAATTATTTGAATTCGAAGTATGTCCGTTTATCAGCTGTATGTAGATCATCTTTTTTGATTTTGATCAAAGCTTATGATTTGAGATTTTGTAAAATTTGAAATTGTCTAGCGATTTGTTGTCATCAAACTCTTATTTTTAGGTTTTTGTTTCTATATTTCTCGATCTTTTGAAAATAAACAAGTGTGGGTTCACAAATGTATGAGAAAAGGACATATACTTAACATGCTTGACAAAAATCATCATATGAGACTATAAACTGCATGTTTAGAGCTTCTTTTGTCAGCTCATGAATTTCTGTTTTTTTGAAAAGGGTTTTCTTTGGAGAAGAGGTATACATGACTGAGAAGCAACTGAATCGTGTGCCAAACTCAGCAGGATACAAACCTCTAAATTGTAATGAAAAATATTTTTGGAATCATATTTTTTAAAAGGTTTTTCAAATTTACTTCTTGGTATAGGCATTTATCCCCTTATTTTTGCAGAATGAAAATAAGTCTTGTGGATTTTGAAGATAAAATGTAGCTTAGTTGTTCAAATGTGCACTCTTTTTTTGAATGTGTATGCAAGCATGCATGAGTTTATATCAAGTACATTCTTGATAGAAACATAAATCTGAACTGATAATTTGATATGTGTGTATTTTCTTAGCTTTGATTTCTGATGAAAGATATATGTTTTAGTGTAGTATTTGATTAGAGGTGTAATTACTATTATGATAGTATTAGGAATTTGTCGACATCAAGCAATGGTAGGGAGATGGCGGCATAATAAGGAAGTGGAGATGATTTCTAAACATGGTATGATTTCAATAGTTGTTGTTTATCTCTCTCTCTCTCTTTTTTTTTCTTTTTTTCTTTTGTAGTTTTAAAGTTAATTTTTATGTTTGACAAATAGTTATATGTATTTCTTGAAGTAGCTATTTAAACCATACATTTTTCAAATACTATTTTGATTTTTAACCATGTATTCTAATGTATATTTGACTATACTAAATCCAATGATTTCTGTTTTCTCAAGGTTTTTGTTTTCTTGATCTCACCTCTTAGTTTTATATTCATGATTTATGTTTAAATGGTTCTAAAGGTTGTAAAAAAGGTGGTGTTAGTGGTGGCAGATGGTGGTGTTAGTGGTGGTTGAAGAACATAAAGATCAATAATGAAGAAGATCAAGAAAATTAATCCAATAAAAATAAAGAAACAAATAACTGTTTATGAATGCCTATACAATAGATATGTTTTCAACACATTTTGTTCATATGATGTTTTTTATACTTATACACAACCTTAAATCGTTTACATGTTTTTTTTATTTCTGACCTCATTTTGCAGGACATGCAATTTCTTCATCACCTAGTTTTAGTAGAATGTACAAATTAGTTGACTTTTAGGTTGACCAGTGTAAATAGGATTAACTTTGTGTAGATAACAACAACATGGCATCAAAGGTAGTGAAAGTCTCAGCAAATGGTCGAAGAGTGATTCTTGATTCAAAAAGGAAAATAGGAACCCAAAATCAATTCAAAACCCAAATAGTCAACAGCAAGTCTTTGACTTTTAGGCCCACAATTCAAAAGCTTGGAAAGAGGAAAAGATCAACTGAATGCAAAAACAAATGTGGATCATGTTCAAGAAAAACTTTGCTCAAAAACTACTCAAATTTCATCAAGAGTGGACTACCACAACGTCTACTGTATTCCCAAGATGGTCAATGGGTTGACTTTTCACAAGAAGTCATTGACTTGGTCAAAGAAGATTTCCGTTCCAAGAAGGCTGCCATTGAAGTGAAGGTTAATGGGAGTCATTTCATGTTACAGATTTTGTACATGATTCAGATTGATTTGAAAACCGGGGCCCAAAAGCCGATTGCTTGGATTGATGACGGGGGTAATTGCGTCTTTCCGGAATCCCATTCCACCTGTCACGGGAATCATGATGATGTGGATCTTGGTGAGTCTTCTGTGACACCTGAAATTAAGTTGCATTTGGAGATTGAGCTTAACAATAAGTTTGAGGAATGCATGGACGAGTCAAACGTGAAGAGGATCAAGGTTGACCAGGAAGGTCAAGGTGTAAATGACGAAAATGCCCCTCAAAAGAGTGATGAGTATGCATCCCCGATTTCTGAAACAATCTGTGGGAATGTCGATGTTGAAACGGCTAGAAACATGTTTGTGATGGGAATTGGTCAAGATTTGAAGGTTGACATTTTTGATGTGAAGAAATGTTCCGGAAGTTTCATGGAAGCAAGACAGAAGCTTTTTCAGACACAGGTTGAAATCACACAAAAGCTTCGTGGAAAGGCCAATGTGGTGTATGCTTGGTGTGTAGCCAATGGGGATGCGCCATCTGGCGTTCTGTTTTATGCTCATAATGGGCCAAAGCTTGGGCCTTATGGTTATGGTGTCCACCTGGCAGCTGTTCAATCTGCCCACAAAAGGTTTCAATAAAGATCACAACTTTCTTGCTTTTTAGCTTTCACTTGGTTAAGATTACACTTCTGGTCCCTGAGTCAGCTGATTTTTTTTTTCAAATTTGGTCCTCTTTTGAAGTTCTTGTAACTTTTTGTTCCCTGTTTCAAATAAATGACTATTTTCAGTCTATGATATAAATAAATTGGTCCTAAATATAGTCATTTTTCTGGAGCAGGCGAATAACATTACAAAAACCTCAAAGAAGGACCAAAATTTCCAAAACCGGCTGGCTATACTCAGGGACCAAAAATGTAATTTGCTATTTGATTAATTATGGACTTTGTTTAATTTTTTTTTACAGTGCTATGATATGTGATGTTGACGAAAATGGGGTAAAACATATGGTTTTATGTCGTGTGATTTTGGGGAATTCAGAAGTTGTTGAAATTGGATCTAAACAGTTTCATGCAAGTGATCCATGTTTTGATACTGGAGTTGATGATTCACAAAATCCAAATTCTTATATAATCTGGAACATGGATGTCAACACACACATCTTCCCTGAATGTACAGTTGCTTTCAAGATGCCTCCAACTCTCAAAGGTAGCTTTCACTTCACCCCCTTCATCTTCTACCAAATTTAACAACTTATTTTTTTTTTTTAGGGAATACTGTTGTTGAAGAAAGTAGGCTTGATATGTCAAGAGTCACTACAACTCATGATCAACATAACACCTCTTCGAGTAGACCAGTAAGTTTCTTTATCTTGTTATTTTTTAATCATTCATATGACTTAGTTTTAATTTGAATTATAAATTATTAATTTCAGGGGAAAAACTTCCCACCTCAAGAGAAGGTTCCTATTCCTAGTGTTGGTTCAAGCACAGCTAAAGATCCTAAATCACCATGGATGCCATTTTCTATGTTGTTTGAAGCAGTTTCTGCTAAAGTGGAACCTGATCATATGAGATTGGTGCATATTTTGTATGAATCTTTTAGGGTATGTTTTGTACTTTTATGTTTCTTTATACAAACGAAAGTGTTTAAAATCTTTTTTGGTGGATATATTTAGGCGAAAAAAATGAGTCGAGAAGAGTTTATTAAGAAGCTTAGATCGGTTGTTGGGGATCAGATATTGAGGTCAACAATATCCAGCCTCCAATGCAAGGTTTGATTGAGTTGACTTTTCATCTTATTTGGTTTGACCATTGACTTGTTCTTTTCTAAAATTTTTGATTTTTGTGTAGAATGTTTCGAATTCGGGAAGTGTGTCAGAAGTTAAAGATGGGCAAGAAGTTTGAAACAGGTTAAAAACTTGGTTCCCTTTTGATGTCTATTATTATTTATATATGTTGGGATGATTAAAGCAAAGTAGATTTTGATGTTTTTGGTTCTAGTAGTTTCATTTTATAAACTCTAATGATATGTTGGTGTTTTTGGATTGTTGTTACCTATTTTAAAGGTATGATGTGTATGGAAGGATTTGTGGTAGTAAAACATGGATTGGTGCTTATTTTCTTGTTTGGTTTTCACTTTATTTGTTATTTTTAGTAACACCATGTAAATAGAAGCATTAACTATGCCAATGTTTACATGCCTTGTGTTTAACATGTTTATTGGCGTAAAAGAATTCAAGTTGCATTGTTTCCGAGTAAAAAGTTTTAAGCATGTCTTAATATATAACCCAAAAAAAAGGGATATTGTTAGTGACCTATTTATAATAATGAATTGAATTTTTATCAATCTATGTAAACCATATCCTAATAATATATACCATGTTGAAAATTAGAAATTTTAGAAATGTATTATTGTTTTGAAAATAATAATATGGTGTCCCCTATTTAAATAATGTGAGACTAATGGCATCATGATACCACCAAATAGCAAGAGTAAATGTGAGAGATAAAGCTCTCTTAACATTTTTTCACTAGTCATCCCACCCTGCCTTGGAGCTCAAGTGATAATCCCATTAGTCCTAGAAGATTTTCCAAAAAACATTATTATTATTATTTATTTTTTATTAACGATCACTCGGGTGAAAATCCTTTATGTGAGTGATCATCGACCAAGAGACTAATCTTTTGCGTGCGTATCCCAATTGGAAACAAATGTTTATATTTTACAATAGTTCCCTTATAAAGTACATGTGCTTCTTTGATAACAATTTTTTTTAAAATTTAGGAATGAACAACTTCTTGGATGATGAAAACTCGCATGAAAGATTTATTTCCGACACATTTTCATTCAAGTTGTCATCGAACTAAGAAATAGGTACAAAATTCCTAAGTTTTCTGTAACCTTGTTATCTCTTCTCCCATTCACAAGTTTCAAGTCGGTTAACCATTTCTTTTTTCTTTTTCTTTTGACATTTCTAACATTTTTGCAATCATATGCCAAATGATATGTAAGAACATACTCGTGAAGAACTCTTTCATTAGGATTGAGTTTTTGTAGTTTGTATTTTAGTTATTGCAGACCATTTGTTGATTAGATTGTATCTTTTTATTTGATGATCATTTTATGCCCGTAAGACTGTATTTCAGACAATTCTGTCATTAAGATGCAATTTCACTCGCTCTTGGAGTCGTTCTTCTAGACCATGTATTGCACGTCTTTAGCATGCAACTCCCTCGTGACAAATTGTGTTAACCAAATGAAATATCTTGATATAACTCAGCTGAAAAAATTGGGAAAACAAATAGTATCACATTCTACACCTTTACATTACATAAACTCTTTTATGTTATTATAAGAGATCGGACTTTTGGAATGTGCATCCAGTATCACATCACAGAAAACAATACCTTTAAATAGACATACAATGTTAAAGTTTTTGTACATGTTCGGAATTTCGGACTACCTTTCATTTTGAAATCCAGAAAAAATAAATTTCGATCATGCTTTATGTCAAAAAAAAAAAAAAAAAAAAACTGAGTTCAAAAAAGTTAAAGATGTTTGAAAATTCCGAAAAATCAGTTTTTTTTTTCGAACAAGTTTTATGTCTAGAAAACCGGTTAATTTTTTTAATGGTATTAAAAAACTGATAGATTTTCGAACAAGGCGGTCATTTTATTTCACAAAATTATGGTTATTATGTGATATTGGTTTGGAAAATATGGTAATTGGGGTGAATATCCAAAATAAATCATAGTTTATACACTAATAGTTGGAAAAAAAGATGTGTAATAATAAGCAAATTACTAAGTTTTATAAGTTAAAAAGTCATGTAAGTTAATTGTTTAAATCAACCAATAGTTAAGCCCACGATCGTTGATGTTTAAAAAAAGTTAGGGAAAGATGATCGAGGTGGTATGAACATTACCAAAGAAAACTACCATCAACGATGGTAATAAGAAGAGATAACGTTCTAGCAGGAAGTGAGATGATAATGTGAAGCTTGACATGGATGAACTTGTCCTTTTAGAGGACATGATCTCAGATAAAAGAGTTTGAATGCTTAATTCTCTCCCTTATTAGTTTTTATCTCTTATCTTTACTATTATATGTTCTATTGCTCACATTGAGTTAGTGTTACATTTGTTTTGTTATATTTCATATTGACTTACTCTCAAATTTGTTTTGTTTTGTTTCGCCTTATTTGTTGTTTCATGTTTTTCTCATATACATGTGTCCGTTTTGCACATGTTGGAGGTCATACATGCGATAGCTCTACCCCTATTCGAAACATGGTTTGTCGACATCTACTTTCTTACACCATTATAATGAGATTTCTAAAACTGTTGTCAACATTGACCGATGGTTGGTTTACGAGTGATATATTTACATAAAGGATTAAGAAAAAATAAGTATTCAAGGTTCAAGTTCAACAACTACATTTTAAACTTTAAAAGTTCTACTTCTAATTCTAATACAGATTGAACTTATCGTGGATTGTTTGAAGAGTGACCATCTTTAGGCCTGACAATCGTGTCGTGTTCGGGTTGGCGTGTCGCGGGTTGGCGGGTCAAAATATGACCCACCAATCCATTTATTTATACGGGTTCACATGTTGGCGGGTCCGTGGGTCCAAATTTTAGATATTTAAGTAAAAACATTCATAGAAACATGTTACAGATTTAGCCTTATAGGTTACGACTTATGACCTTAGACCATCCATCACGAGTAATAATGTCAAAACAATCAAATGGTCTATGAATAAATGGTATATATTATATAATACTTATTAAATATTAATACTTATACGTAAATACATTTAAAAATATAATAATTTTTTTATTAAGAATATAAACGGGTTGGCGGGTCAACCCGTTTATTTTTTGAGAAACCCATATATGACCCGTTTAATAAACGGGTTGACGGGTTGAAAAACTCAACCCAAAACCATTTATTTCGTGTCGTGTCGTGGGTCGTGTTGCGTGTCATGTCGAGAATTCCCAGCCCTAACCATCTTAAAGCACAAAAACACGTAGGCAAAACCGTAGAAGTGACATATGTTCGCATGTAAACGGCACCGTTCCATGGGGAACCCAACTCTCCAAGAACACATGTGAGCTTTATATCTTCCCTCCTTATCTTTCAACCACATTAACGATCATGGCAATTCCCACCACACTATCCGCACTACCTTCTCCTTCATGTCTCTCTTCAAAATCACTTCAACCCATTCATCTTACTTGCCCTAAAACCACAATTTCACTTTCAAAATCCAATTTTACCCCCTTTTCAATTCATCGTTCAAATCCAATCAATCTCGCCTCATCAAGAAAACCCATCAGCTTCATCTGCAGCAGTTCCTCCATTGTGTCAACAAGCACTACCAATTACGAGGTAACTACCAACAATATACGAATTTGAAGTGTTCATTTTCATTTTTGTAAATCCCGATTTGGTTAAGCACGGTTTTCTCTGTTATTAGGGTTTAGTTTTATGCGGATTTTCCTTTCCCAGTAATCTGAAACCATATTTTCTTCTTCTACAAGTATGAAACCATATCTGCTTCTTCATTGGTCACTTTCTGATACATTTGACAGTTTTCAGATGACTCACAAGAGGTAGAGCTGAGATTATTTCTTGGAGATGAAAGCATTCAGAGCTCGAAGGATGTCATTGTTGACATCGATGAGAAATTCTTAACTATCAAAACGAAACACGATGGATCATTTAGAACCGCCATGGAAATCAGCTTGTATGAGAAGATAAAGCCAGCAGAAACAATATGGTACGTCTCCATCTTCTAAAAATCCAATTTTTCATTGACCTCGATGCTTCAAATCTCAATTAGCAACTATTTGATTAATCAGGTTGTTAGATGATGATCAACTGGTTGTAAATTTAAAGAAACAAGATCCCGATTTGAAATGGCCTGACATTACAGAAACATGGGAGTCATTAACAGTTGGAGTTGTGCAACTTCTGAAAGGGGCTTCAGTTTATTTAGTTGGGGAGTCCTCAGAAATCAACCATAAAGTTTCTAGAGAGTTAGCCGTTGGCCTTGGGTATGTGACTATGTTCTACCCCAACATTTGAAATTACCGTTACCCTTTTTGTCTGGTTTTCTCAGGTATACACCACTGAATACAGAAGAGCTACTGGAAACTTTTACCAAGCAAACAGTTGATTCATGTGAGTGATTTCAGACATCAACCTTTATGAACAAACCGAGACTTTTTTGTGTTAATTTAACAAGTAATAATTAATAAATTCTAGTGGTGATTGCAGAAGGATCAAATGCTGTAGCAGAAGCAGAAGGTGTCATATTGGAAAGCCTAAGTAGGTATGAAATAATGAAAACATTTTCCCTTTTTTTTTTAGTTGATGAAATGATGGAATGACTGACTGATTGACACCTGTCATTTTCAGTCATATTCGTTCGGTTGTTGCAACCATAGGAGGGCGGCACGGGGCGGCTGCAAGTGGGGATCGCTGGCGGCATCTTTACGCCGGATTTACAGTCTGGCTGTCACAATCTGAAGCTAAAGGTCAAACCTTTGACTTGATATCCTTTTTTCTTTGACATTTTTCATCATATTCTTGACTTGTTTCAGATGAAGTGGCGGCAAAAGAGGAGGCCAGGATGAACATTGAGGGTGGTGGTGGTGATGGTCAGGGTTTTTGTAATGCTGACGTGGTGGTGAAGATTGGTGGTTGGGATAGTGACTACTCTAAAGCTGTGGCACAGGCTGCATTGAGTGCCCTTAAACAATTGATCTTGTCAGATAAAAAACTTCCAGGTGTGTGTGTGTGTGTGTGTATTTGATAATTTTGATGTTGATATTTCTTATAAAATTCATGAATTCTAATTAAAATGAAATGGATTTTATTTAAAAGGTAAGAAGGGTCTTTATATAAGGCTGGGATGTCGTGGTGATTGGCCGAATATTAAGCCTCCAGGGTGGGACCCATCATCTGGAACAGGTGCTGTATAATATTCGGCTCTTGACAAGTTTTTGCATCCATTCTGAACTGAAGCAAGAATTCATACCTAAGATAATGCATGAAAGTATATTTGAACAACCCTGAATTTGTTTGTTTGAACTGACAAAGAATCATGTAAGAGCATAATGACACGTTTTGTTTGCAGAATGTTTAGAAAAAG